GCTTTGGGGACGGGGTGCACGGCGGTGGGGCGGGGAGGAGCGCGGGATGCCAATCGGTGGGGGGAGGGTGGTGGAGGCCGGCGCTGGGCGAGGTGCGCGTTTTGAAGAGGGGCGGCAGGCGCGGGAAGGGGCGCGCACCTCTCAACCCCCTCAACACCCGCCGACAACCGAAATAACCGCCAGGTCCAAGGACAAGGTGACCAGCGGCACCGACGTCATTGGCAACAGGGTGCGCGTCAAGGTGGTCAAGAACAAGGTGGGCGTCACCGGGGTTACCCACGGGGTGACCCACGGGGTGACCCACGGGGTGACGCGCGAAAGCGGGGGCCGGAGGGGCTGCGGCGGCAAGTGCGGTCGGCGTCTCTTGGGCGGGAAGGCTGCCGGTCGGCGGGCTCGCGTGCGGTCCAGTGGGTCGCCGCCTCGACCATCCACATTGCGCTCTGGCGGCTGCCTTTTGGGCCCCCCGCCCTCGCGCCGCCGCCGTGCCCCGGCCCGGGCCCGTCCCATTCCCACCACCCCTTCCCCTCGGCTTACCACCCACCCAGCCCGCTCCCGCTCCGACCCACCTACACCGCCCACTGCAACCCCGGCCCCCCAGGTGGCCCCGCCCTTCGAGACCGCTGAATTTGACATGATCTTTGGCCGCGGCATAGACGCCCTGGGCTGCGTGCTGGACGCGGGGGAGGAGGTCGGGGCGGTGCAGCGCAAGGTGCGGGGCGTGTCATTGGTGGTGTGTGTGTGCGCGCGCGTGTGTGCGTGTGTGCGTGTGTGTGTGCGCGCGCGCGCGCACGTGTGCGTGCGCGTGCAGGGGAAGGGGGATCTCCGGCAGTCGCAAGGGGTTTGGTGTGTAGACGACGCCCGACTCCCCTCGGCGACTCAACAGCAGGCGCCGGGTGCTCGGGCACATACACGCGCAAATGCACACACGCACACACACACATGCATACACGAACACATGCACACACACTCTCTCTTTCTCACACGCCAACCCCACCCCCCACCCCCAGGGGTCCTATTACTACCGGGGTGACACCAAGCTGGGCCAGGGCCGGGAGAAGGCGCTGCAGTTCCTCAGGGAGAACCCAGAGGTGGGGGAGGGGGGTTGGTCGGGCGGTAGGGGTTCCATGCTGCCGCCGCCGCCGCCGCTGCCGCCGCCGCCGCCGCTGCTGCTGCTGCTGCTGCTGCTGCTGCCGATGCTGCTGCTGCTGCTGGCGATGCTGCTGCTGCTGCCGCTGCTGCTGCTGCTAGCTGCAGCAGCAGCAACAGCAACAGCATGACGCGCATTGACCCTTTCCCTGGCGCGGCGGACCTGGGTCAGCCCTCACTGCCGCTTCGGCAGCGCCGCCTGCCCCACGCGCACGCTCCCACACATACACACACCTGCGATCGTTTGCGATGCCGAACACAATGGTATCACGATGACATCATGACGCCAGCAGGATGATGTCATTCACTCTCCCCCTCCCCACCCACAACACACATGCACACACGCACGCGCGCACGCATGCACGCGCGCGCACGCGCACTCCAACACACACACAAACGAACAAACAAACAAACACTTAAACAATCAAACAAACACACACACACACACACACACAATCACAGATGCGCCAGCAGATCGAGGCGGCAGTCAGCGACGCCCTCAACGCCTCCCGCCGCGAGGGCGCCGCCCGCACCTCCGGCCGCGGCCCCATCAGCGGCGCGCCGTTCGGCGCTGACGAGGACGAGGACGGCGCCGCTGACGAGGACGATGACGTCAGCGAGGAGGCGCTGCTGTTTGGGGAGGGGTCCTCCCTGGACGAGCTGGAGGCGGCGCTGGAGCGGCAGGCGGGCGCCGCCAGGCAGCAGCTTGCCGGCGCGTCCTGAGGGCGTGCCGCGCGTGACTTCGGCGGGCGGCCGCCCGTTGGGTGGCCGTGCAGGGAGGTAAAACCCCGCAGGACTGGAGGAGGTGTTGAGGAGGCCCGGTTCGCCGCAGGCCGCCCGAGCGCCGCACTCCCCTCCCCCAAGCCTCCCGTGCGAACATCTGCCGCGCGTGCGTCCGGCGCAAGCTGCTTTCTTATCGATCATTTCTTCTAGTCGCACGCAGTCCGGCTCCGCGCTGCACCTCGCGCTTGCCCGCGCCCGCCCGCCCGCCGCCGCCACTCTCTTCCGGCGACGCGGGTTGTCAGGGCTGTCTCTCTCGGGGTAGGGGCCGACTCCGCTGGCAGAGCCGCCTCTCCAGGAGCGGCGCCCCCCCTCAACCAACACACCTATGTCCACGTTTTTGTTCCGCAGTTGCAACCCGTCGCCGCCCATCGGCTCTGTATCCTGCACACACACCTGAGGCAGCTGCACATATTGAGGTGTGGCGAGAGGCAGGGTGAAGATCACCCCTCACACAACACAGCAACAAAGCAATCCACGCTGCCTTCTGCGCCGTCGCCACCGCCAGCCACCCTGATACTACGTTGCCCGCCGGCCCGCTCCCTCCACACTTGTAACATCACCAATCGTGCCGGTGACAGTCCACCAATGACACGGGTCTTGTTGTGCTGGCAGCAAGGGCTCCGCTGTATGACATTATTACAAAAGCGGCTGGGATGCCCTCCCGGCATCGGTCGACCCGCCGCAGGCCAGACCCAAAAGCACCAAAAGCGACCTGAGATGCCGGAGAGCATGCAGGGGACGGGGCCGAAACCGCCGCAACGACAGGACAAATTGTACTGTAGTCAAACAATGTGGGGCCCCGCCAACGCATCAGACCCCAAGACCGACCCTGGCAGTGACCGGCCGGCCTGGGGCAGTTGCCGGTCTGGCGGTTCAAAGCGGGCAGCAAAGTGAGTCACGGGACTGCGCATGCAGCGGTGGTAAGGGCATGCGGCAGTGATGGGATCATGCGCATTGCGGTCGACAACGGGGTCGGGTGTGTGAGTCGGAGGGGGGCAGGGGTGGAGGTTTGGGGGGGAGGGGGGTCGCCTCTTGATGGAGTCTTTGGGGGGGGCGCTACAAGGACTGCGTCTGGTCAAAAAGCTTCTGCAGCTGTGTAAAATCTCGACCGAGCGCCGGCGAGCGTGGTCAAAGCACGGTCAAACGTCTGCGCGCGCGCGCACTGCTGCGCCATCGCGCGGCCGGCACAATGGGTCGGGCGGGGGGCGAAACGAGGAGGGCGCGCCCGGTGGATGCGTCCGTGCACGCGCGGGCGCGGGCGACGCGGCCAAACGCGCCTCGCGTGGCGCGAAGCAAAACGTGTCAGCACAGGACAGAGCGGAGAAAGTACCCACAAAGCATGCAGGGCTGCTCTGCACCCCTCAGGCGGGCGGAGCGATTCACGAGACGGCGAAACACTGCGGGCGTTTCGCCGCCCCTGCCGCTCGCAGCAGCAAACTGCGCCCGCCGAACAAACAACGGCGCGCGGCCCGCGGCGCCGTCAGGGCGAGCAGAGCGCCGCCGCGGCCGCCGCCCGCGGCGCCTGCGGCGCCGGCGGCGCCGGCGCAATGACGTCGCGCGTCGGCGAGACGTCGGGCTCGCTGGCGCGGTGGCGCGGCGGCACGGGAATGGGGGCGGGGGTGGGGCCGCGGGCGCTGGCCTGGGGCGGCGGGTCCCTGAGGCGCTCCCGGACGATGAAGAAATCGCAGATCTGGTCCCTGGGGGCCGGGAATGGGTTCATCATTCAGGGTTCAGGGTTCAGGGTCCGGCGGGTTGGGATCGGCGTTGGGTGTTTGAGGGGTGAAGAGCGCGCGAGCCCGGGTTGGGTCGGGTCAGGGCAGCGCGCCCGGGGTGGGCGAGGGTCTCGGCGCCGCGCGGCGCCGTTTGCTCATGGCGCTGCGCAGCGATCGCTCTCGCGCTGGTGGGGATGAGAGCGGCCGTGGTAGGCGCGCGCCCGTCGGCTGGCCGTCCATTGGCGTGGCGGGACGGCCCCTTGGAACACGACACAGCAGCAACGGCAGGAGGCGTGTCGCTTCGGAACACACACACACACACACACACACACACACACACACACACACACACGCGCGAGCGCGCGCACACACACACACATATATGCACACACACACACACACGCACACACACACACAGAGACGCTCTCTCTTGCAAACATGACATGATCGCTCAAACGCAACACACCCACACTCATGCACACGCGCGCACACACACACACTCACACACACACATGCGCATGCACACGCACGCAAACACAAACCCATACGCGTCCACGCCGACACAAGCCCACGCCCACACACGCTCATCCCAACTCTGCAGCACACATGCACACACCAGCAGTCCCTCCACCTCC